CATATACACTGGCAATAGGTCACTACTGCACGTCTATGCGCCCCGAGGGACCGTGAGTGACCAGAAGAGGGTCCTATATTTCCCGAGGCCGAGGGTTGAGGGAAATAGGATCCTCTCTTGGTCACTCACAGGCCCGAGGGGACATAGACATTCACTTTTCAGAGTTTTATAATTCAACTGTTTCAATTCAACAATTAACTCATAAGCAATTCAATTATGAGCAATTCAACAATTAAATGAACGATTTTAGTTACTCTAGATTCAGTTGTTGAGTTTGAGTTTTTTAGAGGGCAACCAGTCACAAATTTCGAGTATCTCCGGAAATGACGCGCGCGCGACGTTTTGACACGCGTCTAGTTCACGCTGACACAAATGTCATGCACTAGCCTATATTTGTGAATCACACGTGATCGTGTTTCAGCCAACCAGGATGAAGAACCAGCAAGAGGTGTGTTATAATATACAAATATTGAGTGGCTCAGAGTGAAAGGGGAGGTATTATCGCCAGGTAAAATCTGAACTTTTCCATGTCACGAGGCGAAGCCGAGTGGACTGTAAAAGTTTCCATTGTCCATTTGCTCATTTACCCTTAAAACTAGTTGGGATTTCTGGCCCTGGACTTGTATGTAGCGCCCCTGTATCAGGGCTAATAAAGGGTAAGATGTTTGGAGATATTTATGAAAAAAAAATCCCGCCAGGTAGTTAGGGGCGTATCGATCTGTAAACGGGCAGGGGGTGGGGAGAGATATCAAGAGGGGGTGTGCGAGGGCGCGTCGAATTCATGTCTGGCTGCGAGATCCCGGGGCAGCACCCGAGGAAATACATCCTACATCCTGATGCAATTTTCGAATACGTTTAGGAAATTACGCTTTCCATTTGTTATTTTTTACAACATTTTATGACTATCTTAACATTAGTCAGCGGCTGAACGGGGAGGGTTGGGGGTGTCGTAACTGTAACACACACCTTTAGATTGACAGCAAAGTCTTGAGGAGACAAGTATAGTGTTCAAAATAAGCCTGATTGTCCTCGTGCACAGAGGGCAATGGAAGTACAATGTACCAATTAAGTGTCTACTCAGAGACCTGTCGTTGTACCGTCGCGTCGATGGGTGCACACCGGTTAACAGGCCTAAATCCCTCAAAGTTATACCCTCAAATATTCTATATTAAAGAATTCTGAGCTTGTTGGATGCAATCGGGCTCGAAAATGCCCTTTCCCCCCCCCCCCCGTGTTGTGGAGGGACCATTTTTCTAGATGGCTACTTTTTTTGCTTTGGGAACAACATGGGTCGTCTTCTCCGGGGAATTTTTTTTCAAAAATTCAACAGTCAACCCACCAAAAATGAAAATAAAATTAAAGACGATATGTTGATCTTCCTTTTTCGGTGCAGCTTATATACCTGTGAGAGTTCTGAGTATTTTTAAAAGAATTTTGAAGTACGGGCATTTCGCACAAGTGTCTATGGAAATTTTAATACAGAAGTGTATCCCGAGCTGTCGTCACGTTGCGCCCTCTGTCGTCGTCACGACGCTCATTTCTCTGTACTGCTTGACAAGAATAAAATTGAGCTGCGAATAATATGAACCTATCATGGTTTTAATTTTAACATATTAGCTGGTAAGTCACGGCGGTCAAGAAATCCAGAATATAACATGCTGGTGTAATTTATCAAACCAATCCCCGGTGGATTGTCATGCGGAAGTTGGTAAATATCTTGTAGAGACCTATTCCGGAAATGCGGACATGTCAAACTTCCTCCACAAACCCAATGCAATTCGCACTTTGCTGTAAATCGTGTCAGTGTAGTAGTTCAGTTGCGCTATTTGTGGGTACCTCATCAAGTTACATTCAAGCAGTGCTGAATGCAAAACTTTAGTATGAGAAGTCGGAATTGACACTTTACATAGTTTCACCGTTAAGGTGGTAATTTCAAGGGCGTCGCTAGATAAGTGTGGGGGCGTGACACCATAGTTGTGGTCGGCTAAATCGTTGTCCTGCAAGCAACATTGTGTGTCCAATCGAACGTGCGTCTGTGTGAAGATGTTGTGAAGCCCCCCCCCCCCCCTTCCCGTCCCAGTCCCCCCCCCCCCTCCGCTGTTTGGAATTGCAAAGGGATTCGTTCGTGAAGAAAAATTACATCTTTTAGCACAACTGTTGACAAACTTGTTGTCACACCCCCCACCAGTTCAACGAGGGTTGGCGAAATATATGAGGCATAGTGAAATATTGAAGTGAATTGTTCCGTATTAATGCTTGCTTGTGATGTTTTCCTCCCAAAATCAGATCTTATAACTGCGGTACGATAATACTGTTCAAATGTATAGACTCATCCGGGCACTATCACTTCAATCACGACGGCCCCTGTCAATGGCGAAAGCATTATGCTAGCTATTGTTCAGCTATTCCATCACGGGGCAGTTGCTTTGTACAACATTGTGCATATTTCTTTTTCCAATGAAGGGGCCTCGCGAGTGTACAGTGATCACGTGCACGGGTTCGTCTATATGCATGCAATTCAATAGCACCAAGTGCAACGAACATCCGCATAAATCACGGCCGGTATACGTCATGTTTCAATCCACCAAACAGAGTTAGTCACCCAACAAATCGGTGATCACAAGCAAGTGGTCTGTGATTGACATGTTGTGTGTGTCAATCACATGTCACGTGTTTTGGATGTGTCACCGACATAGCGCTCAGTCCACCAATAAGATGCGGCTATTTCAGTGTCGGTGGTCCACGTTTTGATCGTGAGTATAATAGCCTCAACGGCAACAGCATTATCTTGAGTCTCATTAATACGAAGCGATTAAGTGATTTGAGATTGACAGCGCGCAGGGGCCAATCACAAACCGGGCCAAGCCATTAAGTCACTGATCAGGAAATCAATGGTAATATTTAAGACAGCAGTGGCCACTTCACTCCTCACAACGACCGAAACTCATCTTCACCTTCAGACGAAAACCCGAGAGAGAACTGATTGCAAGAACGACAAGAATGAGATTTACTCGGTGAGTCTTTGAAACAATAATCTATCCCTGCGCGAACAAACAATTGTTGCCTATTTGCACATAGCGTTTGAATCAGCGTCAGATCTAGATTCGGATAATTGTTGCTGACACAATTATTTTTCGAACAACGAGCGTTCTATCTGTATTCCAAAGAGTGAAATTAGGGACTAGAAGTTTTAGAGTAAAAATCCCTCTCATTTTCGATTGAAATAGTCTGGAAAAAAAAGAACCACTTCAGTCGAAGCTCGAGTGAAAACTCGATCTTTACGATGAAAGAAATTTCACTCTAAAACGTCTAGTCCCTAGTTTTCGACTGTGGAAGTGAATCTTCAATCGAATGGAGTGAATTTTCACTCTTCGGAATTTAGAGAGTTGTATTCGGTTTGCTGTTGCCATTTTGTCGAATGCCCGGTAGTAGGGCAGTGACCGTTCTAACGCTGATTAATCACTTGTTAAGATTATTAATACTTTTAAGAAAATTGCGTTGAAACTTCCCACATGCGTACTATCCATTATCTGTCAGGCATAACTATTCTAAATAGTATGAATTTTAAATTTGTCACAGGGATAAATACTACCTTTTGAAGCAACTTGTGTTTCCTCTGAAAAGTTTCAAATATCATTAAAACGAAGGAAGTTTTCTGCTTTACTCCCTTTTGGTGGAAACATTTTGGTGATACGGCTTTCGCATATACGCCATTCTGCCAGACACACAACGCCTTCTCTGCAAGCTTATAAAATATAGTTGCTTGAGGACCAAAAAACAAGATTTTTAGGAACAAAACTTCATTCAAAACTAATCTTGCGTGACTACGATACTGAATCACGCTTGCGTACAGCCAAACCAGCTCGCTAATATTCCGATCCGCGCCATTAATTTTGGTTCCAACATTTCCTAGTTACATTCAAACATCTTTGATAAATGTGTGGCTAATTGGAATGAACATTCTTTAGTTTCACTGTTAGAAGGCGCAACTATAAAGGGTCAGGATAATCATGCACACAGATTTATTCAAGTCCAAATTGCTTTATCTGGCTGGATTCACTTGTAGAAATCATGTGTAGAGTTGATGTTGGTAAAATTATTCGGCCCTCCTGATATGTTTGAAGCACAAGCTCTCGCATGAATTCAGTCATGTTTGCATGAACGGTCCCACTCAGCATGCCACTTAGATTCTTTTGCATTGCTTTGTATAACAGTTTGAACTTTTGTGGTTGCAGTTGGTGGGATTGAATCTGCACTCGAATGGAGTGAATTTTCAATCTTTGGAATTTAGAGAGTATAGTCATAAAATTTCTTGGGTATGTTTATGATGAGTTGCTCTATGCATGTACCGAGCTTCAACATTTTTGGTCACTCGATGGCCGAGATCTTAGTGGCGGAATCCCCCCCTCCCCTCCGGCTGAGAGATGGTCAAAATAACCCAGCCCTTTTAGGGTTAAACAAGTCCAGGCAGGATCGTTGGAGAACGCATTCCGATCGGTATAGTCAATCCAAATCACACTTTGCGCGACAGAGTGTGTTTTACTTGTGAAATTCAAATATTGCCTACCCAGCAGTTATCTTCGATCGGATTAAACTTACATTTATTTTGTTGGTATATTTGTCATCCAGCAATCTGCTCGAGTGTTGGGGATTTCTCTCGTGATAGATTCAAGACCGTTATTTCCAGGTGAGTGTCTGTTGAAACTGTGGCATTTACCCAGTCAAGCATCAGAAAAGAGCGATGATTCGTTAGAAGACTAGTTTCTATGCATTTATTTTGGTAAAATTATGACAGAAACCTTAACTCCATGAAAAAATAAAAGAGAGACATTTTGGGATCCCCTCCCCTACACCTACCATATAACTTTGTATGAGTTTTACGATATTCTTTGTAAATCATAACTTTCTGAAGGTGAGCACAGCTCTTTATTTCAATTACAAAAATTAGGTATTTCCGGCCAAGTTTTTCAAATTGACATTCAAAGTGACTATTCATCAACATGGAAATGAATCTCGCTATGTCATATACAGGGTAAGTCAAAAAAAGCGAAACCCAAATGTTGGGACTATTGTTTAATTGAAGTTCTGCATGTAGCACTTTAAAAATATAGGATATGATCATGAAAGCCCAATTCATAAGCCATTTTGTTAGTACAAGAATAATTCAAAATCACTTATGTACTTTGCAAGCTACGGAATTTTAAACACAATTACCGTTTTAAAGTTCTGTCCACGAGTCACAAAAAAGGTGTGTGCCTTCCTTCCGCAAAACGAAAACAATTCACACATTTCTGTATGTGATTTGTTTTCGTCTTGCTGAAAGAACACTTACCTTCTTGTGATCCGTGGACAGAACTTTAAAACGGTACTTAAAATAAAGTACGTATGTGATTTGAACGATTCCTCCACTAAAATAAACCTTATTAATTAGGCTTTCATATCCAAGACTCTGGGGCGCTACATACACAACTTCACTACAACAATGGTCCCGGCATTTGGGTTTCGCTCCTTATGACTCCGACCCTGTATTAATTGATAATACAATTTTATTGATTCCTTACTAAAGTGTACACGTAACCGGTCTTCGTTGGTATGTTTTTTTTAGCCTACACTGAACTCCTTGTGATCTCTTCTTGGACCTGATCTTCAAGAACGAACCATAGAGGTGGGTGTGGTGATGTTTAATTTATGGTTAATATTGAAACCACCCACACCCCCCCCCCAAAAAAAAAAATAAAAAGCTACGGAAAGTTTCGCTTGATCGGCATGGACTTTGGTGACCTTTCTAACTTTCATCGGCAGGCAAAATAATAACAAAATATATTCAACGGGTTACCTTGGCAACCGATTCAAACTACGCTTGTTCAAGGTTTAATTCCGTGTCCACTGAATCGCCACTTATATATCACGGCGAACACATTATCTGAATAATGATTTCTCAAATCTCCATAGCTGTGCACGGTTTTTCATATTACCGCAAAAATTCATTACTTTTTGACTTATTCAGTAATTTAAAAGAAAAGATTACTGAACATTTGTCTTTACTTTTACCTATTTCTTAACTCTTTTTACCCCGTTCTCTTTCATCTTTTTTTTTCATTTATTTTTTTCTGTGCAGCATGAAGATTTTGGGGTTAAACATTATTTCAGTCGCCTTTCTTCTGGGTAACTCTGTTACGCTCCGAGCTTCCGTTACTGGGCCGGTTCCCTCGGACGGTAATGGTCCTGCGTCTCAGGTGTGTCAGCAGTGCTGCCAGGGACCTGCTGCCATACCCGGCATACCAGGTCTGCCTGGACCAGCAGGACCGATGGGGCCTTATGGTGAACCGGGGCCAAAGGGCGATGCAGGTCAGCAAGGGGAGAGCGGACCGATTGGCCCTTTGGGAGAGCGGGGAGCACCTGGGAACACTGGGTCGAAGGGTGACGATGGGATTGGTCTGCCTGGCAAGATAGGTCCGAGAGGTATACCAGGTTTAGTTGGAACAACCGGGATGACTGGTGTCAAAGGTCAAAAGGGTGAGCCAGGGGAGACACCAGACGACTCCAACCAGCGGGTGGCATTCACCGTGGTGAGGACGAGCCCTTCGGCTTCCTCAACGAGTCACGATACCCGTTTGCCCTTCCAGGAGACCGAGACCCTTCTGCCGGGTACCAGCTTTGATCTCGAGACAGGTACATTTACCTGTTATATGCCGGGAACGTACGTGTTTACGTTTTCTGTGCTCAAAAAGTACGGCACTAGTCTTACTGTTCATCTTGTCAAAAACAACGACAAGGTGGTCTCTACCTATAGCAATGGTGATAGTTCACGTGACCAATTATCTGCGAGTGCGGTGCTGGTTCTGCAGCGAGCAGACACGGTGTATCTGACTATACACGGTACGGCGAATAGTCATTCCTCCTATCACCACACCTCATTCAGTGGCTTCCTCCTTTACCCCGAGTAGACAAACATGTAACCACGCATAAAATATACACGATCAAACGCATGGCCGAAGTTTCAATCGCTCCTATGATCCTCCGTTTACCGGAAACAAATAACCAATGAGCAAGTGTGCATCCAAATTATTTCAATGTTATCGAAGTAATAATAGTTGAATATTTCGATACTGTAGCATTGTGTAAAAACATAGGGCTCTTAAAAAAACCTACTTACTAATACTGAACATATAACTACTAGCATATTCGAATGTAATGTAGACATAGAAAAAAAAAGTCATTAGAAAATTTAGTATCTCGTGTGGATAGGGTACATATTACATATACTGTCAAACATACATTGATATTTCAGTATTATACACATGCATTCTTGTCACTGTTTAATTCTGTACATATAATTGATTAAACATCTGACCAGGCATCTGACGATCAGCTTAAAAGGTCAACGTTTAAATAAATAAAGATATCAATGTAACGGTAATGTGTAAAGGTTGTTTGCATTTACGAGTTCAATCGTTTTGGTTACACGTTAAAATGCGCTGACAGTGCACAGATCGGTGTGCGTATCGCTGCGGATTGCATACGTTCTCTTTATAGCTGTCTACGTTTTGTAGTAATATCTTGCCCTCTGGACTCATTCATGCTCACAATGCCAGCATTTGTCCTGTGAAACATGTCCTCAGACTCAATACTGATTTCCCAATAAAACGTCTCTCATCCAAACTTCTACTGATTGAAAAAGGTGTGTTTCCGGTTAAGGGGTTGTAACAAGGGCTTTTCATGAGATGGGCGGAGACACACCCAAATACCAATTATTATTTTTTTCAAAGCATGCTTTTTGAATTGCACCACATGACCCATATAATATTTCAAATTTCATAATTCAATTAATTATTCCTTATTTATTTTTACTTGGCATATTTTAAGTAGTTCTTTTGTAATTGTTGTTTATTTGACTCAAACATAGTTGCTTACGTTTTAATACAATTTTTTGTTGGCATAGCCCATCACAGGTCCATTCAAGGCCATTCGAGGTGCTCAAGGTGCGAGCTACAAAGGAAAGTACAGAGAAAAAAGTTACAAAGAGAGAAGAGATCTATTCACACTTAGTGGTTCCAAACACTTTCATAACACACTATTTTTGAAGGCAATTTTCCAACACCTATACTTGAATCGTTTGATGATGTCATGAAACGATACCATTCAAAATCTGCTTTAGTTAACAACTTTCTTACAAGTACTCATGTTTAATCTTTGTTAGAGTTATCTTATAGCTGTGATAGTAAACAGATTATTGCAAACAGAGTCGGAGTTTGTGCGTTTCGATATTTGTTTCTATTCCTTGCAGGGCAGAATGGGGTTAAGGTCTGGCGGGGATTGGCTTGATGGTGGATGGGGTTTGAGGATGAGTGGGAATGAAGGTGGATGGGTTATTAAGGGTGGGTGGGGGACGAGGTGGGTCGGGTTGAGTGGGGGGGGGGAGCGAATATGGGTTGGCGTGGGTTGCAGGGGGTAGGCTGGACTATGGTTAATGGTAAAGATATGGGTAGAAGCGTTGGGATTTAACGTGGGTGGGATTTAGTTTGATTTAGGGGAGGGGACGTTCACAGAGCTTATCGCGGGGTGGTTGACACATTTAAAAGCTAAGCTAAGCTCAGCTTACGGACCTGTCTGACCAACTAGCTCTCAGGGGCAGGGGGTTCGCTTCAGTGGGGGTAGGAGAGGGGTGAGACACCCAGCTCATTTGATTCGGGTGATTCACAATGAAGTGCGCCACCAAGAGTTTGCCCATAATGGAGAGTCAATTGTTCAAGTTTACGGTCGACAATACATGGCCCATTTGAATGAGTGTCAATAGACAACTTGAGGTAAACAGTTATAGATGGGGCATAGCGTTCTGCCACCTTACATCAACACCGTACTGATAAAAAATAAAGAAAAGGCCAAACAGATCCTCGAATCGTACGCCTGCAAAAGACCTGAAATACTTACAATTTCAATTGCCCACGCTGCGAATTAGTCGACCATCTCCCACAATGCACTAGGAAAAAGTAACTTTCCTTGGCAAACTCTTGGTGGCGCAATGCATTGTGAATCGCCCGAGTTGCAAAGTGGTCTTGTCGGCAATCCGTTCAATATAAACAGCTGGACAATTACTTTCATAGTTGGCGGAAGTGGGGGTGGGAGAGGGTTCATCTCCCCACCTACGTTTTGATTTTTTTCCCACCCAATTTTGGATACCTCGTTTAAGAGACGCTTGAACTGTGCGCCCCCACGTCCAGTAACGTTCCGCAACGACTGAAACTACTCCGCAGTCAATGCCGATGTAAGTGATGTGCGCCTCCCCCTTCTCCCTTCCCTCTGATTTATCTCCCTTCCCTCCCATTCTGCCCACGCCCATTTTTTTTGAGAACAAGTGAAAAATATCAGGCCGCAATTTTCAAAGACTGAATCAAACCTGCTAGTTGCAATATTATGCAAAACTCAGCTCGAGTACTCCAGCACTAAGCCAGACTGGCAAGACACATTTCCGTTTGCTTTAGTTCACTGTTAGACTCCGGCCTTGACTGTGACCCTGAACACCTAACAGGACATTCCATAGTCCCAACCGTCTATCATCATTACGTTAGATCCCATGCCGCCGTTCTCATCCGCGGACTAAGCTACACACCCGTTGCCGTCGTCGACCGGGCCTTAAATCAGGGGGGTGGGGCCGTGGATATCACCCGCCCACACGCCTTTTTTTTTGTACCGGGGGAAGCCAACGGGCCATCGGATAAACCCGTCTCCCCACCCCCTCACACACACACCTTTGTAAACACCGGCAATCGTTGACCCCCAATTGTCTCTGATCCTCATTTCTTTGTTTGTACTTAACTTTTTTAGCAACAGCTCTCATTGGTTTTGTACACGAATTTCAATCGTTTGAATTTGCAAATTATGCAAAAAAAACCAAAACACTTTATCCGACTTGAACTAGGAACAAAGTTACATTAATATTTTTCTTATGTATCTATTCGCCAATTTGTACTAAGTGGAAGTATAACAATATGGGGTTGTCCCTTTCAATTATGCAATTAAATGTAACATTCTGACCATACAGCATCTTAAAGTCTCATCATTGAGTGTTCACTTAAGACAAACTAGTATCTGGTAAGAGTAACATAAACAAAAGCACAGTAAAATCTAAACTTTAAGTGATCATTTATAATTTGCTCTTGAACGAGTGTGTGTGCCTTAAATAATGACGAGACTTAGCCGCCTGGACCACTCATACAAGTGGGTATTTGCTTACAATAACTGTGTTTACATCGCGAATGGACAGAAGTCGGCGCGCGGTGAGCAGTGTTTATGCAGCGCGCCCTCTTTTGGAAGCAATTGATGATGATAAGACGGAGTGTCAGAGGCTTACACTGCACTTCCTTAAATAACAAGTTTCTTCTTTCACGGTTTCTGTCAATGTTCAAGGTTCATATTTCAAATATCATGTATGCAATGTCATTTCAATGCAATGTATTTTTTCTTGAGTTTTTGAGCTTGCAATTATTGTGTTTACATTGCTAATGGACAGAAGTCGGCTCGTGGTGAGTAGTGTTTATATTAGTGACACATTGCAACAAAAAAAGTGGTCCTCTAATCATTCTACACAAAACCCCTAGCGCTGCGGTTTGTAATTGTGCATAATCCTTATCAGAAGGCCTATCACACTCAATTGACTGTGGCAGTAATACAATGGAATGGCACTGTTTCCCCATGTTGTGGAGGGACCAGTTTTCAAGATACCTACTTTTCTGCTTTGGGGGCAATAGGGTTCTCTTCTTTGGAAGAAAATCTCTCAAAAGGCAATGGTCAACCCACTAAAAATGAAAAGAAAAAATGAAAAATGACCTGTTGATCTTCATTTTTCTGTGCAGCTGAAGTACCTGTGAGAGTTCTGAGGTTTAATTTTTAAAGAATTTTGAAGTATGGGCATTTTACACTTGTGTCTATGGGAAATTTAATGCAGAAGTGCATCCCCAGCTGTCGTCACGTTGCGCCCTGACGTTGTCCCGACGATCATTTCTCTGTACTGCTGGACACGAATTAAAAAAGCTGCGAAAAATATGAACCAATCATTGTTTTGATTTTAACATATTAGCTGGTGAGTCACGGCGGTCAAGAAATCCAGATTATTACAAGCCTGTGTAATCTATTAAACCAATCCCTGGTGAACTGATATGCGGAAGTTGGTCATAACTTGTGGAGACCTATTCCGGAAATGCGGACATGTCAAACTTCCTTTACAAACCCAATACATTTTGCACTTCGTTGTAAATCGTGTCACTGTTGTAGTTCAGTTGCGCCACTTGTGGGTACCTCATCAAATTGCATTCAAGCATTGCTGAATGCAAAACTTGAGCAACAGAAGTCGGAATTGACACTTTACATAGTTCCACCGTTAAGGTGGTAATTTCACGGGCGTCGCTAGAGGGGTGTGGGGGTCGTGACACCATAGTTTTGGTCGGCTAAATCGTTGTCCTGCAAGCAAAATTGTGTGTCCAATCGTGCGTCTGTGTGAAGATGTTGTGAAGCCCCCCCCCCTCCCAGTCTGCCTCCCCCACCCCGGTGTTTGGAATTGCAAAGGGATTCTTTCGTGAAGAAAAATTACATCTTTTAGCACAACTGTTGACAAACTTGTTGTCACACCCCCACCAATTCAAAGAGGGTTGGCGAAATATATGAGGCATAGTGAAATATTGAAGTGAATTGTTCCGTATTAATGCATATTGTTCCGCTATTCCATCACGGGGCAGTTGCTTTGTACAAAATCGTGCATATTTCTTTTTCCATTGAAGGGGCCTCGCGAGTGTACAGTGATCACGTACACGGGTTCGTCTATATGCATGCAATTCAATAGCACCAAGTGCAACGAACATCCGCATAAATCACGGCCGCTGTACGTCATGTTTTAATCCACCAATCAGAGTTAGTCATCCAACAAATCTGTGATCACAAGCAAGTGGTCTGTGATCGACATGTTGTTTGTGTCAATCACATATCACGTGTTTTGGATGTGTCACCGGCATAGCGCTCAGTCCACCAATAAGATGCGGCTATTTCAGTGTCGGTGGTCCACGGTTTGATCGTGAGTATATAGCCTCAACGGCAACAGCATTATCTTCCGTCTCATTAATACGAAGCAATTCCGTGATTTGAGATTGACAGCGCGCAGGGGCCAATCACAAACCGGGCCAAGCCATTAAGTCACTGATCAGGAAATCAATGGTAATATTTAAGACAGCAGTGGCCACTTCACTCCTCACAACGGCCGAAACTCATCTTCACCTTCAGACAAAAACCCGAGAGAGAACTGATTGCAAGAACTACAAGAACGGGATTGACTCGGTGAGTCTTTGAAACAATAATCTATCCCTGCGCAAACAAACAATTGTTGCCTTTTTGCACATAGCGTTTGAATCAGCGTCGGATCTATATTCTGATAATTGTAGCTGACACAGTTATTTTCCGAACAAAGAGCGTTCTATCTATATTCCAAAGAATGAAATTGGGGACTAGACATTTTAGAGTGAAAATCCCTCTCATTTTTGATTGAAATAGTCTGAAAACCACTTCAGTTGAAGCACGAGTGAAAACTCGATCTTTACGATTAAAGACATTTCACTCTAAAACGTCTAGTCCCTAGTTTCAGACTGTGGGAGTGAATCTTCACTCGAATGGACTGAATTTGCACTCTTCGGAATTTGGAGAGTTGTATTCGGTTTGATGTTGCCATTTTGTCGAATGCCCGGCAGTAGGGCATGTGACCGTTGTAACGCTGAATAATCACTTGTTAAGATTATTTATACTTTTAAGAAAATTGCGTTGAAACTTCCCTCATGCGTACTATCCATTATCTGTCAGGCATAATTATTCAAAATAGTATGGATTTTAAATTTGTCACACGCATGAATCATACCTTTTGAAGCAACTTGTGTTTCCTCTGATAAGTTTCAAATTTCATTAAAACGAAGGAAGTTTTCTGCTTTACGCCCTTTTGATGGAAAGATTTTGGTGATACGCCATTCGCGCAGACGCCCTTCTGCCAGGCACACAACGCCTTCTTTGCAAGCTTGTAAAAATGTAGTTGCTTGAGGACCGAAAAACAAGATTTTTAGGAACAAAACTTCATTTAAAACTTATCTTGCGTGACTACGATACTGATACACGCTTGCGTACAGCCAAACCAGCTCGCTAATATTCCGATCCGCGCCATTATTTTTTGTTCCATCAGTTCCTGGTTACATTCACACATTGTTGATAAAATGTGTGGCTAGTCGGAATGAACATTCTTCAGTTTCACTGTGAGAAGGCGCAAATATAAAGGGTCAGGATAATCATGCACACAGATTTATTAAAGTCCAAATTGCTTTATCTGGCTGGATTCATTTATAGAAATCATGTGTAGAGTTCATGTTTGTGCAAATTATTCGGCCCTTCTGCTCTGCTGTCTGCCTTAAAAGATCTCGCATGAATTCATTCACGTTTGCATGTAGGGTTCCACTCAGTATGCCACTTAGATTTGTTTGAATTGTTTTGTGTTATTTGGGTTCTGTAATGGATTTCGGTTGGGCAGTTGTTACAGATTGTAACAAATGCTAAAACTTTTTTGCGACATATTCATGGTTGACAAACAGATGTTGGCTGATGCTAATAGCCAAACAAGTGCGCTGATTCCCCATCCGGAAAATAGACATTATTTAACGAATGTAATGTGACTGCGCTAGTGCACTTATGATTCCAATTAGAAAAACAAAGGATTATTTGCTTTTGGTGCATAGCACCTAACCACCCGTTGAAGCTTTAACTTACAGGATCATATACATTTTGATAAAAACCCAAACAAACAAAATATTTGCACAATATTGTTGGGTTCTCAAGTGGATTTCCTCATTAACTTACAGAGTGTGTCCCAAGGTACACTATTTTGCGAACACCTTTTCGAACAATTTCACGGCGTATTTAAAACCAAGCAGTCCAATCTTCACTTTTAGCATTGCCAAGTTTCTGTCAATAAACTTTTCCAGGGCACTTGCAAATGAACTTACAAAATAATGTATTGTTATCAATACTGCACTTTGTTTTCCTTCTGTATGTTCAAGTGGGCTCACTGCTTAGCCTATCCGTGACACAAATACGTGGTTTTCACTTGCTTTTGCACAACGTTTTTTGTTCCAAAAGAAATCTCCTTTTTAGTAAGCAATTCGTTTGATTCAAAAATGAAAATCCTTTTAAAAAGTCCCGTCGGGGCCGTTGGGGAACGCATTCCGCTTGAAATAGTCAATCCAGATCACACTTTGCGTGACAAAGTGTGTTTTACTTGCAGTTGTCTCCGAACGCATTTAAGTAACTTATTTTGTTGTTATTTTTCATCCAGCGATCTGCTCGAGTATTGGGGATTTCTTTCGTGATAGATTCAAGACCGTTATTTCCAGGTGAGCGTCTGTTGAAATTGTGGCCTTTACCCCTCAAGCATCAGAAAAGAGCGATGATTCGTTAGACAAGACTAATTTCTATGCATTTATTTGGGTAAAATTGTGACACATACTTTCAATCCATAAACAAAATGAAAGAGAGACATTTGGGCAAGTTTTGGATCCCTCCCCACACCTACCGTATAACTTTACCTAACTTTTACGCTAGTCTTTACAAATCATACTTTTTTTTAACCTTAGCACAACTCTTTATTTGAAGTACAAACATCAGGTATTTCCGGCCGAGTTCTTCAAATTGACATTCAAAGTGACGATTTATCAAAATGAAAAAGAATCTCGCTTTTTTATCTATTAATAAATAATACAATTAATATTGATCCCTTACTAATGTGTAAACGTAACCGGTTTTCGTTGCTATGTTTTTCAGCCTACACTGAGCTCCTTGTGATCTCTTCTTGGACCTGATCTTCAAGAACAAACTCGAGGTGGGTGTGTTGATGTTTAATTTATGATTTTCTAAAATAAAAATAAAATAAAATGAAAACAAACCCACAAAGTTATAGCACCTTTCCTTACTTTCATCGAAAGGCAAAAAAAACAATTTAATTCCTTGTCCACTGATTCGCCACTTATATATCACGGCGAACACAAATTATCTGAATAAAGATTTCTCAAATCTCTAGCTCTGAACGGTTTTTCAAACGACCGCAAAAATTCATTAGCTTGTGACTAATTCAATAGTAAAAAACTTAGAAAAAACTGAATATTTGTTCTTGATTGTTACCTATTTCTTACCCCTTTTTTTCCCGTTCTCCTTCGATTTTTGTGTCAAATTGTATCTATTTCTTTTTCTGTGCAGCATGAAGATCTTGGGGTTGAACATTATTTCAATCGCCCTCCTTCTGGGTAACTCTGTCAAGCTCCGAGCTTCCGTTACTGGGCCGGTTCCCTCGGACGATGATGGTCCTTCGACTCAGGTGTGTCAAATGTGCTGCCAGGGACCAGTGGCAATACCCGGCATACCAGGTCTGCCAGGACCGGTGGGACAGGTGGGACCCTATGGCCCACCGGGGTCAAAGGGCGAAAAAGGTGAAACGGGACCTCTTGGCCCTATGGGTGAGCGGGGAGCACCTGGGAACTCTGGATCTAGAGGAGACGACGGCATTGGCCTCCCTGGCAAGATAGGACCGATAGGTCCACCAGGTTCAGTTGGTGTCAAAGGTCAAAAGGGTGAACCAGGAAAGACTCCAGACGACTCCAACCAGCGGGTTGCATTCACCGTGGTGAGGACAAACGCCTTCACCTCTTCGAGTCACGACACCCGTTTGACCTTCCAGCAGACCGAGACGCTTCTGGCAGATACCAGCTTCGATCTCGAGACCGGTACGTTCACCTGTAATGTGTCAGGCACCTACGTGTTCATGTTTTCGGTGCTCAAACGTCCCAGCAGCAACCTTTGGGTTTATCTTAAGAAAAACGAGGACACGGTTGTCTCTGCTCATAGCAATGATTCAGGTCCCTATGAGCAGGTGTCTGGGAACATGGTGCTTGTTCTGCAACAGGGAGATACGGTGTATCTGACTATGTTCGGTACGGCGTATAGTGATGTCAGTCACTACACCTCATTCAGTGGCTTCCTCCTTTATCCCTTATAGACAAACATAATAACCACTCATACTAAAACACAAAATTATACACATTGCCGAATTTCCAATCGCTCCTTTGTTTATTAAAAAAAAATCAATGAGTAGGCCTAAGTGAATTTTTTTCTCTGTTATCAACAAAATTTAGTTGATTATATTGAGATTTTCATTAGCGCATACGTAGATCAGTAATACGGTATTGGAATAACTAATGGTTTAAGTGCCGACACTGAATTGGTGTATATTAAAAACAGCTTACAAAGTACTGAAATTAACGATATCGATATATAAAAAGATATACATTCTTTATCGTTTCATCGTTTTTCAAACGTTGGTTGTAGATCTATAATAATGTACAAGCAGAAGAAACGGTCGTTAAAATAGTTGTTTGAATAAAGGCAACATTACATATGTTTAAATTTATATTCTTTTGGAGAGATACGTCTGTCACGTATTTAGCATTTAGGATTTTTTGAATTCTTTGTATGAAATAGATGTAAATTCGACAAGGCAGCCAACGAGTGAGGCCTATAGATTAAAAAGGTCAATTTAATTTGTAAACAAAAAGTCAGTATCAATGTAATGTGTAAACGTTATTTGCATAACTGAAATCATTTTGGTAGCAGGTTCAGATGCCTTACATCACACATTACAGGGTGATTAAAAAAAAATCGAAACCCATGCATGTAGCAGTTTCAAAATCTAGGATTTAAAGGTCAATGCATAAGCTTTCTTTTAGTGTTCACGGATGACAAAAAAGGTGTGCATTCTTTCAGCAAAACGAAAACAATTCACACACATCCTCATGTGATTTGTTTTTGTTTTGTTGAAAGAACACTGAACTTTTTTGTGATCTTTTGTTACAAACGGTCCTCGATCGTAAACGTATTGCTTAGTCTGTGAGAGAGTGTTATATTACAGGGACTAAGGAAAACACAGAGCATTGTCCTCGAGCTTATAGAAATTCACTACTATGATTGTGTTCTCTTAGGTATATATTTTTGTTGAAGGATCATGCCCCTTTTGATCCACCCACGCTCACAGTGTCAGCATTTGTCATTGGAATCATGTCCTCGGACACCGGCCCAAGTTTCCGAATAAAGTCTATCATCCATACTTAAGTGCATTGGAAAGGTGTGTTTCCGAAAAAAAGGGGCTTGAGGTCTATTCTTAGGTAGGCGGGGACACGCCCCTATGTAATTATCGTTGAAATATTTTTTTTTAAGTAATTGCATTCTAATTCCAACACATGGTCCCAGAATATTCTCAAAAAAGTAGTAACTCACCTCGTTTTTTTCCTCTCATGTTTTAATTACATCTGTACATTAACTTTGAAAGTTTACTTCTTATAAAATCATTGTTTATAATTGCATGCAATGTTGGTTGTTAAACCTGACACTATACGTGTATTACAGAAATATATAGAATTTTTCTAACGCTTGCTAGTATTAGCAATGTAACACGTCTAAGAAAAGTGTTCATTAGCCTCTAGTACATTTGATTATATCGCGCTCTGATTGACAGCTTAAATAATTTACTTATAATGTGATAAGTATCCAATATAACTACTTAGAAATAATAGCTTGTGATACTACGAAAACCTATCCGCTTATTTTAACACTTTGGCAGGACTTCATTCATGTTTTGACACGTTTGTAATAGTACACTGTGTTTGGAAGAATGCAATCTAATTTACAGGGAAGTAAAAACAAGAAGTTGTTTTTGAACTGGAATCATTTGTCTTTTATGAATGACAACCAACCAAACAATTCAACGCTGACTCGTGAATGAATGGAAGAACTTTTGTTAAATATCTAATTGCTTTGATTTTGGAATCATTTTATAGCCATTGGTAAACTTTGGAATACTTTTGAAGGTGTTGATCTTTGAATTTGTGGCAAGTCAGGATGATCGCATTTGGGTCTGGATTCGAAGGTCGATGAAGAGTGGTTGTCTCGGGTGGGGTTGAGGTTGGGATGGGTTTGAGGATGAAAGCGGGTTTGAGGTTGTGGGGTTTGAGAATGGAGGTTTCGGGTAAGTGGGTTAGGGTAGGGGTCGAGGGTAGGTTGGTTTTGAGGAAGGAAGGGAACATGCACATATCTACACAAAAATGTGTTCAAACAAGATAACAAATAAATATAATTTTGTTTTAAAAACAAAGTTGTCTACTCATCTAATTTGTTAAAGTCTTAACTATGTTTTCTGTGCAAAGGTGAGGCAAATGTTCTGTTTGGACATGCGACTGCAGACTATTGCCAAATTTATCTCCGTGTTGCGACACAAGACGCTGTTGAGGGAGAGAAAACAATACTTTGTCTAAATCTTCTGTCTTGTTTGTCTACTTTTTTATGACCAATCATCTGGCCACGAATTCATACAAAGATTCACTTAATATTTGAGATAGTGTTTTCCGGCTGGACTATCGATTCTGTGCAAAAGTGAAGCACATGTTCTGTTTGGACTGCAACTGAAGCCTATCGCCAAATTTATCTCCGTGTTGACACACGACACTGTTAAGGGAGAGATAATAATATGTCTAAATCTTCTGTTTTATTTGTGTCCTTTTCATGACCAATCATCTAGCCACAATTTAATTCAATGCATTACTTAATCCTTGATGTAGCGTGTCCAGCTGGACTATCGTTTCAGTGCAAAAGCGAGGCAAATGTTCTGCGGCGGCACTCCATCGCCAAGATTATCTCCGTGTTGCGACACGACACTGTTGAGCGAGAGAAAAACAATCATTTGTCTAAATCTTCTGTCTTGTTTGTCTACATTTCATGACCAATCATCAGGCCACAATTCAATTCAATCCAATGGTTCACTTAATATTTGAGATAGCGTGTCCAGCCAGCCGAACTATCGTTTCTGTGCAAAAGTGAGGCAAATGGTCTGTTTCGACTGCGACTGCAAACGCATTGAATTGAATTTTGGCCAGATGATTGGTCTTGAAAAATAAACAATCATCACAGAAGATTGAGACAAAATATTGTTTTTCTCTCTCAACAGTGTCTCATGTTGACAAACTTGTGTTGACACGTTGACAAACTTGGCGATAGGCTGCAGTCACAGTCCAAACAGAACATTTGCATTACTTTTCCACAGACCGATATTCCAGGGAGACACGTTCAGTCAAAAATTAAGTGATGCATTGAATTGAATTGAATTGTGGCCAGATGATTGATCATGGAATGTAGACAAACAAGACAGAATACTGAGACAAAATATTGTTTTTCTCTCCATCAACAGTGTCCGGTGTCAATACCAAGAAAAACTTGGCGATAGGTTGCAGTCGCTGCCCAAACAGAACATTTGCCTAACCTTTTGCACAGAAACAATAGTCCTGGTGGACACGCTAACTCAAAAAATAAGTGATGCATTGAATTGAATTGAATTGTTGCCAGATGAGTGGTCATAAAATAGACAAACAAGACAGAATATTGAGCCAAAATCTATATTTTATCAACATGTACGACAAGTATTTAATGAGTTATTGTTCAAGCAACACAAACGCGTAGATGTTTCTGCTTGATGTCAGGAGTATTTTCTGTACACTGGAACACATTCTATGCAAGTTTACTCCGTGGTAACACTAAAAGTTTTTGGGGTGACTACAACAAGGTTTCTTAATACTTTATAGGCTTTATGTACATGTGCTCGACAATAATTGAAAAAAATTCAAACAAGTACAAAATGTTAATGAGTTATTGTTCAAGCAACGCGTAGGTTGTTTCTGCGTGTTCAATAGTCAAGAGTATTTTCTGTACACTGGGCCGTCTTTATGGCAAGTTTTCTCAGTGATGACAAAAAAAAAGCTTTTGGGTGATTACAACGTTGGTTAATCTTGATATTTTACTGACTCCATTATCATGTAATCAACATTAATTAACGTAAATTTCAAACAAGTACACCAGGTAATGAAGGGGTAATTGTTCAAGCAACGCGTACGTTGTTCCTGCATGTTCAATAGTAAGGAGTATTTTTTGTACACTGGGACGTCTTTATGGCAGGTTCTCTCGGTGATTACAATACAAGTTTTGGATGAATTTTTTTATGGTCATGTGCTCAACAATAATGAAAGGAAATTTCAAACTAGTATAACAGGTGTTTAATGAGTTATTGTTCAAGCACCGCGTGGGTTGTTTCTGCGTGTTTAATTGTCAGGAGTATTAACTGTACACAGGAACGTCTTTATGGCCGGTTTTCTCCGTGATGACAAATACAGTTTTTTTTTTGGAGTGAGTGCAACTTGGTTTGTCTAAATATTTTACAGGCCTTATGGACATGTGCTCAACAATAGTTAAGGGAAAATGCATTCCAGTACGACTTGTATTTGATGAGTTATTGTTCAAGCAACGTGTTGGTTGTTTCTGAGTGTTCCATTGTAAGGAGTATTCTCTGTACACTGGGACGTCTAGATTAAGTGATGCATTGAATTGAATTGAATTGTGGCCAGATGATTGATCATGGAATGAAGACAAACAAGAGAGATTATTGAGACAAAATATTGTGTGTTTTTTTCCATTAACAGTGTCTGGTGTCAAAACCAAGAAAAACTTGGCGATAGGCTGCAGTCGCTGTCCAAACAGATCATTTGCCTGACCTTTTACACAGAAATGATAGTCAGGTGGACACGCTGACTCAAAAATTAAGGGATACATTCAATTGAATGGTTGCCAGATGAGTGGTCATAAAATAGACAAACAAGACAGAATATTGAGCCAAAATCTATATTTTATCAACATGTACGACAAGTATTTAATGTGTTATTGTTCAAGCAAAACAAACGCGTAGATGTTTCTGCTTGATGTCAGGAGTATTTTCTGTACACTGGGACACATTCTATGCAAGTTTTCTCCGTGGTAACACTAAAGGTTTTTGGGGTGACTACAACAATGGTTTCTTAATACTTTATAGGCTTTATGTACATGTGCTCGTCAATAATTTAAAAAAATTCAAACCAGTACAAAAGGTATTTAATGAGTTATTGTTCAAGCAACGCGTAGGTTGTT